TCTCTCTCTCTCTCTCTCTCTCACACACACACACACACACACACACACACACACACACACAAATTTAGGCACTCCGTCCGGTCCGCTCTGAAGGAGCCTGAACCACAAAGTTTAAGACCTCCAGCGAGGTGGCCGTTGTAAACAAGACTGCACCTGGGGAAGTCGAAGTCGACACTGGAATGTGAGGAACAGAACCCTGAAGTCATCCAGGGCCTGCGCAGGGCAGGGCTGCTGTAAGGAGTGGACATGCCTTGGGGATTACTGTCGCCCTAATCTCTTTATCCAAAGTTCACCTGGCTACACCCTGCCTGCTCTGTACTGAGTATCTCTCTCCGTTTCTAACAGGGCCAGTCTGAACTGTGCTGACTCTCTACTCTTTCCATCCCTCTTCCTTATCAAGTGTCCTGCATAACTTGCCTTTGTCACTACATATCACTCTAAGCAGTTAGAGAGGCCACTTTGCTGAAGTGTCTCTTCTGCCACACACCTAGCATTCGGACAGTGTGGTCCTAAAAGCACCAGGACACAAGAACAAACCCCCAGTTCTGCCCACTTTAGCATGGACTGCCATCCCTACCTTTTCCAACACACTCTGCACTTCACCTGAGGCTACAGTGGTCCCAGCAGCCCCACTCCCCTCAAAGCCACCCCACAGTTTTAGTTCCGGCTTCCAGGGGCCACTCTCCACCCTCACTCAACAGGACTTCTAAAACAAAACCCTCTCCTAGGTTCTTTCACAGAAGCAAAGGCTGTGCTCTCTGGGCTAGGAAGCTTCGGACTCCCTCACAGGACAGACGACGAGGTCAGACAGGTCTCCAACCTCTTCAAGGGTCCACTCTCTGTCATAACAGTGTGCACTAGGAGAGCAGGGAGGAGGGTTTAAACAGACGGGGCCAGACGGCCTCACGAACAACAAGAGCAGAGGATGGAAAGCCACGTGCGCCAACTAGAGACTTTCTGTGGCACCGTAATGCTCTATGATCCTGACAGGATACACGGCTCAGGATATGTAGACACAGACCTGGACACTTTACCATACATGTCACCTAAAATCAAGTTAATAATAAGTATTCTGAAGGATTTACATGTGAAGTATACTTATTATAAAATACAACAAAAATCTAAGATTGGCTGGTAGACAGAGGGAAACGAGCAGGCAGTAAAACAGACCCACCTATTTCATGGAAGACTATGGAATTACAGATATGGGTATATAGATATTCAACATTCAAATATTTTTCTGTAATGATTAACGGTTTCCCCATAAAATGTCAGGAAGATATGACAAATGAAGGCTAGGAGCTCAGGCACTTCTCAAGTCCACAGACTAAGAGAACTCACTTTAATGAAAACGTCCACACACATCTTAAAGTGGAGACAGGCATAGTGAAGCTTGCCTAGAGTCTCAGGCCTTGAAAGGCTGTGGTAGGGAGACCATGAGTTCAAGGCCAGCCTGAACTATGTGATTATACTCTCATCTCAAAAAGCAAAAAATTGAAGGGAAGGAAGGCGAAGAGAGGACAGATGCAATTTTGACCGCCCAGAGACTAGCTCCAGCCTTGAGCACTCATCCTTCTCACTCACTCCAGGAAAATACACATCAGTGATGTGATGAGTCCTTTGTCCGAGCCTACGTAACTACTCCAGCCTTCCTACCCGAGTTTCTAACCCTCTTCACACTGACACTCGGGATGGAACACCTGGCCAGCCAAGCGCAGCAGCAGCAGTCTGGCTAAGCCCGTGAGTGAGCATTAAAGGTGACAGCTCCGTCGGTGAGGAGTAAAGTGCTTGCCACACCAGCATGAGGCCCTGAGTTCAGATCCCCAGAACCTGTGCAAAGCTGAGCACACTGGCACAGGCCTGGATCACACTTAGACTCACACTGTGCGGGCACACTGGCATAGGCTTGGAGTCACAAACTTATATTGTGATTAAGGTATGAAATGGACAAGCTAGGTTATGAAACTAAGCATTTCTGACGTGAGTGCAGTAACTAGAAAATGAAGTTGAAAATGAAAGGTTAAGTAATTTTAGTGAACACTGAGAACCACATACATTTTAATTAACTCCACTCCGTCCTGGATGACACAGTAGGCTCTCTGCTTCAACATCCCATAGACAACATAAGTGGGAAGATAAGGTAGACAGGACCGACAGAAATCCATTCCAAATGGCCCTCTGTTGTTGCTCCAAAGGCCAGCACGCAGCTCATGCACTTGAATTCTGCCTGTCACAAATGACCTAACAAGGAAGGCATTTATCACACCATAGTAGCTTCCCCCATGTATCTGGCTTTAAACAGCTGCAAATTTTGGAAATTAGCTAGCTCTAAATGAAGTCTCTCGAGTATGTTCTCCTACCAACAAATATTAAGACACAAGTGAAGCCCAATGGGATTCCAGTATTATAGAAATTAAACTAGGTGAGCATAAACTAAGTTTGGAAAATAAAGTAGAAACTGTTTAGCATGTTAGTAAAACAGCTGAGCCAATGAGCATATCCTAAGGACTTCTGTCTAATAGCACACTCTGCTCACAATGTTGCCTTATTCGTCACAAAGATGCCACATTACTAATGATGCTTTAGTTCCTTCAAATTCTGTGAGTGAACTAAATGACAAAATGTCTTTTAAAAAAATAAGCTTAATCTCCAATTTCCATAAAACCATTTAAGTAAAGGCTGCTTCCTGGACCAAAAACTGCAAGACGTGGGTGAGAAGCACCGAAGCAGAAGCAGGTTATAGAAATGTTCCATAGTCATGGCTTGTTATGCAATGACACACATGCAGGCGGCTTTCTTGTGCCCACCACTGTTTCTTAGTAACATCAGAACACACTAAGACTTTCATTCTCCACCCAGTAACTCTTCTCTTTCCATGTAAAAATAAAAACTAACACCGAAGCAAGATAGACAGTGAGGTGGCCAAGCACTGGCAAGCACAGCAGTCAGCTACAGGGTTTTTAACTCCCGTTTACACTGACCCCACCCCTTCCATTTATATTAGCAGTGTCCATTTACACAGAGCGAGCGACCCCTTCACAGGGCTCACACACCAGATATTTACAATTCATAACAGTAGTAAAATTAGTTATCAAGGAGCAAAGGAATAACTTTATGGTGGGGTCTCCACTACACGAGCAGCTGTATTAAAGGGCTGCGGCATTAGGAATAACTTTGTGGTGGGGTTTCCACTACATGTGCAGCTGTGTTAAAGGGCTGAGACATCAGGAAGGTTGAGAACCACTGACAGCCAGTCAGATCCAACAGTCAGGGCCTGGGAATGTAGCTCAGTGCCGATCGGTATTCCTGCAGGAGACCCTAGACTTGTCTCTCTGGACACACATCCAAATCCAGTATTAACAGATAATTTTTGCTTTCATTTCCTGTGCTAATTTGCATTTCATCTGCATACTGATGCAAAATCCAGAAAGCCATTAAAAGTCTTCAAGGAGCCAGGTGTGATGGCACGCACAGGTAATCCCAGCACACCAGGGGCAGGCTGAGGGTTCAAGGACAGCCTAGACAGCACAGCAAGTACCACGCCACTCAGAGCTAGAGTGAGACCCTGTCAAAAAAAGTTATTAAGGATATATTTGCCTATAAAAATGCAAATATTTGAAGAGCAAATGGGAAGCAGAAAGTATTGGAAAGAGGGGACCCTACTATTGCAAGTAACTGTGCATGAGGAGGCACAGACAGTTCCAATGAAGGCTTCCTTCTGAGAACCCTAATTGTAAGCATGCTTCGGTTTTAAGTCTGCTACCTTTGAACAAGAGTCTAGAAGGAAGAAAGGCTGAAAGGACTGAGTCTCTGGAATGTCTCCTGCAGGTTAGTTCAGCACGCCAGCTTCTATGCAGGTCAAAGCCAAGAAAATCATCATACACAAAATCTCCTAAAATTTATAATTTCACATTCAAAGCACTACTGATGAAATTTTAGTTACCAGTCCCAAAAAGCAATCTTCAGATGTGTTATTATATTAAGTTACAGCCCAGTCTGTTTTTTTTTTTTAAAAAAAGCAAAAAAATAAAAAGGTCTTGTTGCTGAGCTATAACCACAGAAAACCTCCAATTATCCTTCATGGGGGGGGGGGGGACGATAAACACTTGGATAAATTAAATCCTCAGGTGATTATTATTTAAAAAGAGCTCTTATAAAACAAAGTTCGTTTAAGATCTGCTTGCCACGGCCATTCGCTAACTAAAAGGCTAACAAGCAGATCACTAGCCAGAAAAAGGTAAATAAAGCCAACGGAATTATCGGCACTCCAGTTGGTTCTGCCCCCGCTCACCCCTCCCCAGCAACTGCTGTTATCAAACCATCAAACTGAGTTTAGCTTCCTGAAAGACACTCACAGGGAATATCCCAAAACCCCTTCTCCCGCCTCCCCTCAAGATCTCCCACAATTTCTCTACTTCTAAACCAAATGTCCTTAAATTGACACTAACGATGCTTTCTGAAATGAAGTTTAAACACCTGACAATTATTACATTCAAATTCTACGAAGCTGATATCCACGATTTCGGTTCAAATCTGCGAGGACTGAACTTCCTTTTTCTCCCCGCGGGTCCTCCCAGCCCTTCCGCCACTCGGGGCCTGCGGTGACATCACGGTCTCTCCGGGTAGAGCCCTGACATCACAGGCACACACCGAGCCTCGGAACTGTGACCTCACCGCCGCAGGCTCACACGGCGGGGCCCGGGAGGGTGGAGGAGACGCGCCGCTCACCTGCGCCGGGACGCCTCCCCCCACTCCCCGCGCCCGGCAAGCAGCTCCCCCGCGGCGGCCTAGCTCGGGTCGCCCGCCTCGGGGCCCGGGGACCCGCGGACGCACGACCTCTGGGCCAGGCCGCGCGGACGGCGCCCGGGAGGACGCGGCGGCTGCACCCCCGAGCGCGGCGCCCCGCGGTCCCCGCCCCCAACGCCCGGCCTCGCCGCGGGGAGCAGCGGGAGCCGCCACAGTGTCCGCCCGCCGCGCGCCCGCGCCCCCGCCCGGCCCACCTGTGCTTCTGCCCGGCCGGGGCCTGGCCCGGGGCTGCGGCAGCCCGATGCGGCGGCGGCAGGCCTGACTCGCTCCCCGAGACTGAGGCGGACCGGGAGCTCAGCGCAGCGCGGCGGAGCCCAACGCTCGCCCCGAAACCCATTTGTTTGGCTAAACCGGCGTGACATCACGCGCCGGCCCAATCGACGGTTGCCCGGGGGCGGGGCCGCGGAGCCTGCGTGCGCCGCCGCCCCCTGCCGGCGGCCGCGAGCGCTGCGGAGAGAGGTGGACGGTACCGGGAGGAGCGCCTGCAAGCCCCCAGTGGTGGAGAAGGGGGGGGAGTGTGACCGAGGGCAAGAACCTTAACCCTAGAGCAAGGTTAGAGTGACAAGTTTATTAGCGCTCAAGGGTGGTCCAGAAGTCGAAACGTGCTTGACACTGAGATGTCCAAAATACCTGGGTCCTTATCTTGGTTCTGCCACTAGCTTATATGGTTTTATTTCAAAGTTCAATTTTGTAAAAAAATTTGGGCGGTTGCTTCACATCTGTAATCCCAGAATCTGGGAAGTGGCTGCAGGTGGATGAGAAGTTAAGGGAAAAAGAGGCACCTTCAGCTCAAAGATGAATTTGATTCCAGGTCAAGAACTAAATTGACCAAACGTGAGAGCAGAAGGTAGCAAGTAGTTCTTTTACCCACGTCTCCTATTCCAGTCTCAGGGACTTTTCCTACTGTCACCAGGACGTGGCCGGGTTGCTTCCCTTGGATCGTTTGCCCTTGGATCTTCTTGCCCTCAGAGTGGTGCTTTTTGACTAGATGTCCTCTCTGTGTTAGAACATTACTCTACCACAAACCAGAACCAAAATGAACACAGAGCTCCCAGGAAGGGAGAAGCCAAATCTATGACGGAATTCCAAGTTCTTTCAGAATAACGTCAAGAAAAGAAATGAAATTTCATCCAAAAAAAAAAAAGACCAACAAAAAACAATTCCGATGCAATTTCTTCTATACAGACAGTGCAGACTCTTTCTGAAACAGAGATAAAGATCAGGGATAGAAGCATCATGATAGGAAGATGAGAAGAGCCAAAAGTCAAAACCTAAATTTCTTGCAGAGACTGAAAAGAATTGATGAGATATCATCAAATCTAGTTTATTTCTTTATAAAAGGAAGACTCAAAGCAACTGATTGAGAGTTCTTTAGGCTGGAGAATCCTTGGAGTTTAAGAAGAGAAAATTTATGCATTTAGGTACTTGGAAAACACCCTTATGTTCCTCGCTTTCAAACTGGTCAGAGATCCAAGGCTAATCACTCAGGAAGCAACGCTCTTACTGACCATCTCCACAATGAAGGACTCTTCTACAATGTTGCCAAGATCAAGGGTCCAGAGCCCTAAATGGATGGGTTTCCTCTAGGGATGGGGTCCCTCCGACAAAAGATTGTTCACTTATGTGAACCCCATCTTGACTCCCATCTCCTAGAGACTCGAAAGGCGTTACTCTAGCCTTCATCATGCTACAGATGCTGACAATTATCTATCCGTTCCAATCGCCACCTGAACTGGGGTCACTGGTTCGAGTGGTCCTTCTCTTATCCTCCTGTCATGGATCTGATGTTACAGAGAAGTCGAAAAGCCAAAGGCCATAAAATGTCACTTTCTCTTTGTTGTAGCTTCCCTATCAAAAACTCCACATGACCCGGACCAGCACCTGGGAAGTGTGGAGGGCCAAGTCTGGATTTCCGTTCCCAACTCCAACACATTAAAAGCTTGAACCGACCAGGGTGGGAGGATTTACACCACTATCCAGGCAAGTGCTGTGTAAATCAAGCTGGGTCTTTGCTGCCGAACTCCCCCAAGCCGCCTTCAGCCCTTCTTTATCCTCAGGCCCCTGGCCCCTTGGCAGCAATTCTTCCTTATTCTTCAGTCACTGATGTGTGGGCATCTCTAGCGCTCCCAGTTGGTCAGGGGCAAATCGTCTGCAGCCTGCTCCTCTCTGGGTCCCTGAGGTAAGGAAAGAACAGCGTGAAACTGGACCAGATGGTCGGCTGGGCTGGCCCTGTCCCCTCCAACTGGGGCTCATTCTGCTGCCGTTCCCTCCCCTTCTTACTCCGTGTTCAGCATGATGGGAGAAGGACTTCTTTATGGCTGAACGCTGCCTTTGGCATAGGTCTCAGTCACACATGCATTTTAATTTTCATCACATTTATTCAGTGTGTGTGCGTGTGCATGTGTGTGCGCATGTGCGCGGGCGTGTTCATGCGGGCAAGCGTTTTGAAAAGTGTTGTTGGTGTTTTCAAGCAAGACTTGGCATTAGAGGTGTCGTTACGGCTGCTAAGAAAATGTCAGCAAACTCAGAAGCTGCACCAGAAGTTGCTGGCTTTTTCAAAGAACTCAGTTCTGAGTAAAAATCCATTCCATGGGCCGTTTTAGCAAGCTATGTAGCCGGGTTATTTTAGCGAGCCAGCACCTCCTTGGTGCCGCAGGTGCCTGCTATTTAGGTGAGAGCACTCCACAAGGGCAGGGGCAGGCTGGCTGGCCTCCTGCGCATGCTGACGGCTCCTCCACTTACACTGCAGTCATTAGGAAATGCCATCTTCTCAAAGGCTTCAGAATGGCACAGGAGATCCTCATGGTTTATTTAGAGAACATTGCCGTAAGCATTAATAGAAAAAGCTCTCCCTATTCCTGGATTTTATTATCCGCTATAATGAAGTCAAGAATATTCTGGGAGCACAAAAATAAAAATTATTTTATTATTAGGCGACTACCGAGCTTGTTCCCAAAAGAATACACCAGAGTCTTCCTTCCTTTGTTTTATTTTCTATTCAACCTATTAAAAAAAATTAAAATACTCTAGGATGTTTTCAGCCACAGATTTTTTGGAGTCCCATAAATTGTTTTAATGGATGTATTGCCTCATATGACAAGAAGTCTTAAGGGTTGGTTAATCAGTCTCATGGATGTCCTGAAGGATACAGGCATCTCCTATTCTTCTGCTGTGCTGTCCTTGTTAAGTTTCTTCTGTTAACTCCTCTGACGTCCCAAGATTCCAGGCAGGCACTCTTCTAGACTCTGACATCTCAGGCATGCGTCTCACAACAGGGTCGCCACCAACGTCACCGTCTTATGTCCTACTTCCCTTCCCTCCCTCCCCCCAAACAGGAACATGTGTGATGAATTTTACCCGTCTTCTTTAAGGTTAAGAAAAGTCTTTTCACCTCAGCATGGAGGTATGTGCGTGTTAGGAGACTGAACCAGAAGGATGTCCGGGAATTTGTGGATAGACTGAGCTACACAGAGAAACTAGGCCAGCAAGATTCCTTCTGAACAAACCAAAACAAAGTATAACACCCTTTCCAACAATATCTCAGCAAACTTCCCTTTGTATTTTATTGCCAAGATTTGAGTCTCACTCACTGGAGCCAATCCGTTACAGGGATATTGGCCAATGCTGTTTGCTGGGGGAGGGTTTCTCAAGTTAGGGATTGTTGGCGTTTTGGGTGGCGTGACTGTGTGTGTGTTGGGAACTGTATTTCGTGATGCCCAATGTTAAGTGTTTATTGGACTGGACACCTACAGTGTCTCCCCTTGAGTGGTGACAACCAGTCTCTAGAAACACAGAAAGCCTTTTGGAAGTGAAATCAATCCTCCTGTGATGGGAAAGTGATTAGCTTAGGGCAATCGGTATTCACTCCACCGGTGCAGACCCACCGCACTGGAGCACAGAAGACCAGCAGCGATCAGTTACCTATGCTTTCCCAGTTAATGCTAGTTTATCTAAACCAGTGGTCCTCCACCTTCCTAATGCTGCGACCCTTTAATACAGTCCTCATGTTGTGGTGACCCCAACCATAAGAGGATTTTCTTTGTTACTTCAAAACTGTAATTTTGCTACTGTTACAAATTGTATTGTAAATAAATATGTTTTCTGATGGTCTTAGGTGACCCTTGTAAAAGTATCAATCCAACCACAAAGGGGTCGTGACCCACAGGTTGAGAACCACTTAACCTAACTGCTCAGTGACGTAGTTTTGCGATCAGTGATGGAGAATATCTAGTGAAGTGTAGCTCTGCTGTCTCTAGGAGATGCAGGTGGTCCTTTCGTCAGGGTATCTGTGCAGCAGTTCAGAATCTATCTCTTCCGTGCCTTCCTTCCGACAGCCAGGCCTCTCTACTCTCATCTGTTCTGTCAGTCATCCACTGAGGTTAGTTCTCATGTCCCAGAGTCAACTATAAGGAAAAGTATGAGTCGTTCAATGAATTCAACAGCTATGTGTTGGGTACCTGCTATGGCGGGGATGTGTATTAATAAAGGAAAATGACCAGGATTGACAGTTAGGGAAAGCTCTCTGAGGAGAGACATTTTAGCTAAGACAGGAGGAAGCGGGAGAATGGACGGGGATGAGAGCATGCCTGACAAGGACGGGCCACATTTCTGAGCGCAGACTGAAGAACCAAGAGCCTGGAGACAGCGATGGTGATGACAGTGGTGACTTGTGTGTGATGAGTGTTGGCCTGATATAGTTCTGTCCTCGGAGCGAGGCTGGCTTTAATTCCTTGTGTGCTATAATAACTGTCAGGATACACAAGGTTGCCGTCTTCCTTTGTGATTTTTACTCTGACTCTTACATCAGCATTGTTACCTCGGCTCTTGGTTCTCTAGACGTAGCTCTTGGGCCTTTTGTTTTAAGAAGTCACAACTTCCGTGTGTCTGCTTGGTCAGCTTCAGACCTCAGGGTCTATGGCTTCTTCGGCTTTCTCTCTTCATCTGACTTCACGGGCTAAGGGACTCTGGGGAAGTTTCAGGAAGAGTCTTGGGATAGAGACTATGTCTCTTGTCTTCCCCTCTATTTTTCAAACGCTTATAACTGCAGGGGCTAAATGCTCCTCAGTACAGCTCGCTGTTGTCCCTACGGGAAAATCCTTGAACCCTTTCAACCTTTGCTTACCAGATACCTCCTAAGCACCAGAACTTGAGGTTAGCTGCATGGTATAAAGATGAATCAAACTCAGCTCCCCATGTCTGAGGAGCAGTCGTGCCACAGGAAATGGTACATCAAAATGAGAGCCGTTCATGCTGAGAGATAACGCTACGGCTTTGTGAAAGAACACACTTTTAGGATGGCTAGGGAAGTTCAGCTGTGTCTCCACGACTCCTCAAAGGACAAGCGGAATCTCA